CCCAAAGTACCAACTAGATTCACTTTCTGATCGAACGAGGTACTGAAGTCAAAAATCGAAGCATTTTTACTGCCCCAAAACGTGATGACAGACACAAAAAAAAAATTAAAATAAAAACACACATCATGGTAAAATCAATACATTCATCGCTCCGCTAAGAATCTAAAATAATAATAATAATAATAACAATAATCTATTACCTATTATAATATAATATAATATATAATATATATCAATATCTATTATTGCTATTATTAAAAAATGTCTAATTTATTTTAAACTACGACATCTAGCGGTTAATAGTGGTACCAGTTGTGTTGGCTTGTAGTACCCTATTTGAATACAATGCCACTCAAAATTTTTTTTCGAATTCGATTTAATCAAAATACGACGCAGAACTAAAACAAAAAAAATACGACACTCGTGGAGTGGTTACTTGGTGTGTACTAATGGTCAAGTCATAAACATTAATTGATAAAATTATAGTAGTCTTCACGTCTTCTTGAGTACACTGAACTAAGGTGGTTCTGCGCTATAAGAGCCCGCTCTCTAGACGTGACTATTAAAGTTTATTTCTTATCAATCGGACATCATTAAAGAATTTTTATTCGATATTTTGATAATTAATATTTTGCAGAATCATTTTGAAGTTTTGAACAAGATATTCTGAGTTCAAACTTTAAACAATCATCTTAATAAATAAAAATAGTATTATTATTACAATGTGCTAGATAAATAGTTACGATTATTTGACCAGTGTTGAACGTTTTTGAAATTTTAGACCAAAGATAATTTTATTTTTTGGAGAAACAATTCTGTGTAATTGTAAAATGAGTACAACATTGCAAGCAGATGAGTTTCCAGTATGGGCATTGGTACCAAAAAAAGAAACAGGAGTCACAAACTTCTTGGTTAAAAATCCATTATATGATGGCCGTAATGTGACAATAGCAATATTCGATTCCGGTGTCGATCCTGGAGCTCCTGGTCTTAAAGTGAGAACTCTTGGTGAGGAATAAGTMATATGTTAAATATTATTATGTTCATATTTCAGGTGACAAGTGAAGGAAAACCAAAAGTCATTGCTAGATATGACTGCAGTGGTGCTGGTGATGTTGATACCTCAACCATAGCTACACTTGAAGGAARTGAAATAAAAGGGCTAAGTGGACGTACACTCGTAGTAAGTAATTAATACCATTTCACTTGTTTTAAAATTATATCTATAATATCTATCTCGCAGATACCAAATACTTGGAAGAATCCTACCGGGAAATATCACATAGGTATAAAAAATGCATTTGAGTTGTATACCAAAAATGTCCAAAAGCGAATTGAAGAAGAAAAAAAAGAAAAGGAATGGGACCCACTTCATAAGTTATTATTATCAAAATCAATCACAGAACAACAAAATTTCAATAATGTAATTAATGAATATATTATGTCCCCCATATAACTACTAAAAATGTTATGACATTTTATATAGGAATATGATCCTTCTAAAATCACACTGACAAGAAACCAGAAATTAAAAAAGGATGACCTAGACAGCACTGTTGAAGCTTTACACAATTTCGAAAAAAAGTATAAATTTATCTCCCCTGTTTACGATTGTATTGTTTTCCATGACGGAGAACAGTGGCTGTGAGTATCTTTTACCAATACCCATGTACATAAATTTATACATTCTGCATGTAATAGTGCATTTGTTGTCTCCGTCTTACAAGTTTACTACATAATAAATCTTCACAGCAGATCATATTTAGCTGTTTGTTTAAAATTAGAGTTAATCGGCTTATTTTGAAACTTGATAAAAAGTTAAATAGTGTTTATATGTGAATTTTTCTACAATATTTCAGTTTTACCTACATTATGTTAGCAAAATCCACCTTGAGATATCAAATTTTACTATAGGAATTGAATTTTTTAACTAAAAAGTTAGACATAACATATCAAATTTTTTTTTACCAATTTCAATAGTGTGAGTGTCCCGTCAGTTTTGATATTGAAATGAATTGACTTCTTATAAAATTTAAAAGTTAAAGCATTATCTAGGATCCCATTTAAGGTTTTATTGATATTACTATTTTTAAGCGAGTTATAATCAGATTAAAATGTACAATTTTATTATAAAAATGCAATAACTTACTTGACGATTGTAATATAAACAAAAGCCTATGTGAGGCCTGAGTTAATAAATTTACATTTTAATTGTATAATAGGCGAATTCACACTCAAATATCAAAACTAACTGCACACTATTGAGACTGGTGAATGACGGAGACAAGGTCCACTTAACTATCAAATGGTAGTATGTGATTTCTTGATAATTTTTTGAAATAATAGATGCTGCAACAAGTTATATTCTTCATTTTTCYCAAACTATTCTAGGAACATATTTAATAACAATAATTGAGCATAGCAGAACTTTCAAGAAATAGTATTGTCAGTATAGATTGTCCTAAAGTTTTTTGGGACCAGGGCCCTTTAAATTGTCTTAGTACAAAACAAATAAATAAATAAATAATCACACAATAACAGTTTCTAACCAAGCTTTTATTCAAACTCATTATGCTAGTGCAATTTATAGTTTTCACTAAAATAATAACTGCATGCAGGTAACAATATTACACTCGGCAATGAAACATAATAACTATACTAACCACCTCTGGATGTAGACTCAAGTGGTAAATAAAAAATTATAGTTGAATATTTCCTTGACCATATTCATAGGTTAGGTACCATATAATAAATGATTTTTAATTTTAAAAAAGTATTATTTGGACTAATAATTTTACTGGTTAATATATTTTTATCATAAAACTTGGTTGTTCACGAATCTGTATGGTATAACCCTGTATTGCGATTTCTGATTTTCTTACTATTGGTAGTCCTGAATAGTACATAATAAATTAAGTTTCTTTAAACATATATTATCCAGTATGTTATAAATTTATAATAATTGTTCATAGTGCATGCTTGGATACTTCTGAAACAGGAGATCTGTCTTCATGTAAATTAATGGGAGAATTTAGTGAAGATCCTGTAAATAATTTTGATTACATCACTGCTTCTGATCGAATGAGTTATTCGTTTAATGTGCATAATGATGGAAATGTATTGGAAATTGTATCTCTTGGGTGTAAGTGTCAAAAATAAATATTTAGTTAATAATTGAGACAATAAGTAAATGAACATTTTTTGATTTTGCATTAGCATCTCATGGAACACATGTATCAGCTATTGCTGCTGGGTATTTTCCTGATGAACCAGATAGAAATGGAGTGGCCCCTGGCGCCCAAATTATATCCTTAACTATTGGTGATAGTCGTTTAGAGACAATGGAAACAGGAACCGCAATTGTGAGAGCAATGATAAAAGTTATGGAACTTAGAAAGAAGTTTAACATCGATGTTATAAATATGAGTTATGGGGAACACTCAAATTGGTCTCATGCTGGGTAATATAAAATTAAATAGACTGAACGCAATTATGTATAATATATTATATGATTTACAGGAGAATTGGCGATATAATGAATGATGTAGTAGATAATCATGCAGTGACTTGGGTTGCATCTGCTGGTAATCACGGACCAGCTTTATGCACTATTGGGGCTCCTCCAGATATTTCAAAAACAACAATTATAGGTAACATGAATAAATAAATTAACAGGTATTTCAGCTAACAAGAGTAAATTGTTCCCTAAACTCATTGGGGTCTTGATAGTGATAAACTTACTAATTCCAAGTTTTGGAACACATTTATGCGCAGATTTACTTGATTAATTATAATATATATTGACTTTRTTGGTTTCTTAAGACTGATGTTTGTTTTTTATATTTAAGGAGTTGGAGCATATGTGTCACCAGATATGATGTCAACAGAATATTCCATGCTACAAAAACTTCCAGGAACTACTTATACCTGGTCCTCTAGAGGACCAACAATTGACGGTGGTAGAGGAATAAGTGTATGTGCACCAGGTGGCGCAATAACTTCTGTACCTGGATATATGTTAAGAGGATCACAGTTAATGAATGGCACAAGCATGTCAGCACCTCATGTAGCTGGAGCAACTGGTTGGTTTTTTAAATGTTTATAACTATTAACTTTAACATGTATATTTGTTATCAGCTGTACTAATATCTGGACTCAAAGACAAAAATATTGATACATGTCCTTACATGATTAAACGAGCAATGGAAAACACTGCATTGTATATTGATAAGATCGATCACTTTTCACAAGGACACGGATTATTACAAGTATAAAACATTTAAATCTGATTAAAAATTACTTTTTATTAAGTAGCACTGTTCATAAGAAATTTTATAAATAAATTATCTTCAGAAATAGTAATATTAATACTGTTTATAAAAAATATAGTTTTTATAACTTAAAATTATAATCTATTTAACACTTATTCACAATTAATAATTTACATTAAAAGACACTTCTATTTAATGTTTTGAATTTATATACATTGTATAAATTAAAAATTATATAAACAATATTATAGATATAATGTTAATAATTATCTCATTATAGGTTGAAAAAGCATTTGATTATTTAACTCAATACTACACTGAACAAGAATCATATGTTAAGTTTGTAATATCTTGTGGTATCCTTGGTGGGTTTAATGGAAATAAAGGAATCCATATCAGAAATGCAATTGAAAACAAAGAGGTTGACTGTGTAATAACCGTGGAACCAGTCTTTTTAAATAATGCAGAAGTTGGTAAGCTGATCAGTTATTAAATTTAAAATTTAGGGAACCAGAAATTAACTACATGAGTATTTAAATTTTTATTATTGATGCAGTATTGATTAAATAATCTTGGATTGACAAATTAATTAATAAGATATATATATAAAAGTATAAATAATTAATATTAAGATTATATACTCAAATTCTTAAAATATCCTTCACATTCATATTTTGTTCCTTCTATTTTGTCCCACATCACAATCCAGTTAATACCATGAACTCTTTTACCTACATTAAATTAAAAGTCACTGTAATTATTGAAGGTTAGAAGTCAGTATTTCAAGATACAACGCTAAAAATAATAAATAATAATAATGCAAAACTATAAAAGCAAAAGGAAGATTCRCTTTTCTAACTAGTTAAAAAATAAATATTGTATGTAAGGTATAACATGCTTGTTGAACACAATACACCAAGTTATCAAAATGTGTAGAACTACAAATAATATAATCCAAATTGGTATTTTAATTAAATTAAGTGTATTCAATAAGTATTTCACGTAAATTAAAATTTAGTACACTATTAAAACAAAATATACTAACTTATAAATACTAGTAAAAGTTAACAACATTCTAACTTCTAACTTAATTAATTAGTGCCCAGCATTTCAATATWAATGCAGTATGGTTATTTGGTTGTTAATCATTGGATAACCCTACTCTTATTTAGTGAATAATAAAAATATTTTTACCATCAAGATTTTTCCGTACAATATCTGCATATTCGTGACAAATGAATTTTATTCTGGCACATGTATTATTTTTCTTGATGAATACAATATTATCTGGTGTAACATGTTGACACAAAATTTTCCATATATCTTCTTCAGTTGTATGGGCATTCATGTTCCTAATATGTAGTTGTTTCATCTGAAAAATTAATTTTTTCATGATAACTTTAATATAAAAAAATGAGTATTATATTTTATACATACTCTAATCAAAACAGAATGTCGAAATACTGGTTCAGATTCTGCCCATTGAATCTTAATTGAAATTCCATTTATAAAAAATGGACTTTCTGCCATTGAGCGGCGAGCTAAAGCCGCACTTCTATGATCTTTGAATATTACAAAACAGAACTCTCTATTTTTGCTAGGATCATCTGTGTTATTAAAAACTCTCACTTTCTTAACCCCTTCTACACGTTTTTCAAATTCTATTTGCAATTGTTCTTCCGAYAAATCCATAGGTATGTTCCTGGCAAATAATGTCCTATTATCAGTCGACATGCTCACCAATAAGTGACCTCTGATACCAGGAAGTGTCAGTTCATTCAGTTTAATTAGGGCCATCTCAGCTTCCATAGGGCTACTCATCATTACGTAACCATATCCTCGGTTTGAACCAGAGAAATGCATCATTAATCGAATTTGATGAATAGTTCCAAACTAATAAATCAAGAATTTAAAATTTTTATTACGAGAAATAAAATAAACATTCATATATATTACCTGTGAAAAAATAGCAAAGAGAAAACCTTCCAAACAAGCTTTTGGTAATGCAACATACAGCTCGCTACCACGTTTTGGTTCTTGTTTCACTATTGGCAATAATGTTTTTTGACCATTATTTTGAATAACATGTCTTTTATCAACTGAAATTAAACGCTGACCAATTTCTTCTATTTCTATCAAATTTTTTGCTCTAGCAATAGCAGCGCTTATCAAATCTTCACGTGTAGGCTTTAAAAATAAAATTAATTTTAATATATTCATGGGACGAACAGACAAATAGATGTGCTTACAATATATTGGTCTCTAATTATTGAAGGAAATTTGAATACATTATCACTTCCATTTACAAATGAATCAGAAGTCTGTGATGGTGGAGTGTAGGGCGATGACACTGGTGAAAATGATGATTGCGAATAACTAGATGTGCTGGACATATATGACGATTGAGAATATGGTGATGGATATCGAGGTACAGGTGTATGCTGAAATATTAAAAACAAGTAAAAATATTGTTATTTAGGTATAGGTACTAAATAATAATTCTACTTCTATACTAATAAAATACAACTATACATTTATGTAGACCTATATTAAATATAATAAAAATGATCTACAAGATGTAACATACTAACCGTGTAGTAATCGCAGTATAAAACATTGTTTTGAGGTGCACAATACATTTCCATTTTCATTCAGAAATTTTACAGTTTTTAAATTTAAATCCTATAAATAATAAACATAATAAAATATTTTAGAACAGTGATAAATAGAATTTATATTTTATTAAATCTGATAGATAAATATTAAATACTAAAAAATATGCAAACGGAGATTTGAAGAAAAAKATTTAAAAAATATTATATTAGGAGTTAAATTACTTAGTTTTCTGATATCCCGGTTTTTTTTTTAGCTACAGGGCATTACATGACACAACAGAAGTGCATATGAATAGCTTTATTATAAACGGTGTCTATTTATAATTRTCGGTATTTATGGTGTTTTATTATTCGAGAAAAAAGAACAATTAGAAAATAAATCGTATTGTTATTTTGTTATTCCACCGAAGCTATCACATGTTGTACTTCTAAAATAAATATTTATAGGAATACCGATGTTTTAATTRGAATATCGAAATATATTTAATTATAGTCATAATACATTCTAGTAACAATAAATATAGGCAATTCAATTATTTTTGAACAGCAGTATATAAAACGTTATTAAGCCGGATGAGTATAAATAAGTTTGTCAAAAGGTAAACTAAATCGGGTAGTCACGGATTAAGATAATATATATATATATATATATTATCTTAGTCCGTGGGTACAGTAATATGTCCGCTATCATTTTAAAAATATCTACCTATTATAATGTATATTTATTAATTGACATAAAAAATAAATAATGATRAATGTAAAAATATACATCCTGTCATAATTATAGCTGGAAATGTTTATTTCGGAGTATATTATGCGTGGCTATAATTATTTTACAACAGAATATAATTTACAATAGATTTGTTTTTATTTAGATTTCTTATCATTTTTTTTTTTATAAACTTATTTGTTCAACACTTCGCACGCCAACAAAAAATATAGCATTAAAATAATACGCTGTTGACTACTTAAATATGCTATTATTGTTCGTACTTTGGGTTAATAATTCTGTGGAAGTACTGGTGTGAAGCGGAATAAAAATTTCGTTGAATCATGTCAATTTTAAATAAATTAAATGATCAATAGAGTATAAAGATCTTTAACTTTTAAATAAACAAATTTAAACGTTAGATGTTTAATTATAATTTAATTGACAAACTACTTGTTGTAGGTATCCTCGTATTAACTAGTTAATAACATAAAAAATACTGGGATAACCATGTTTTTTACAAAATTAAATTATGTAAAAAAAGTGGCGATATAAATTATATAAATTACAAAAGAATTATTAGATACCAAATATGAATAAAAAACTAAATATTGCAATTTGATTAATAACAAAGAGAAATCGAACATGAACAATGGAGACAAAATTAAAATGGACATTTAATTAAAATTTACAATTCAAGTCAAAATTGATGACATTATTAAAGCAAGTATGTGCTGCGAAAGATGATACCTATCACCTAAAACCTATGCGGGTATGCTACTACTTGCGTAACACAAAACACAAAACATAAATAATTAAAAAAATGATCACTTGCCTTGTGCTCCAGAAAAATGCCAATGGAAAAATACGACGATGATCAAACAGATATTGAGAAATTAAAATGTAATATTTTTAAAAGGATAATATTATGTTGATCGCGGCGCAATATAAATAATAAAGCAGTGGTCGGGTCCTCTTCTTTAACGATGTTGAAGTTTAAGTGCCGATTGGACGGTTGTAATAAAAGACTAAAAACGACGATTTGCATATAACGTTTCGGAAAGCATCGAAGGAGATGGAAGAAGTGTCGCGAAGAAGCCTGAAAATGCCTTACGGTAACAGCGGTTGACTTAAAGTGAACAGTGATCGAAGATCRACAGCCAAGCGTGGTGGTCGACGGATTAATGATCGAACACTCGAACTGAAACTCCGCGTGGCTGTCGCAGGTCGGCACTCGGCAAGCGCGATCCTATACGCCGTTTTTGTTTTCGTCGTCGTCGGTGGTGGYGGYGGCGGCGACGGTGGTGGTGGTTGATGTAGACCGTAGTCGGTTTTCCACGAATCGACAACAACAACAATTAATTGGGCAATATCGTAATATTTTACATAATATGGACGCCCGTTTTATTGTGCACGTTATGAGTATAATCAATTTGAGGATGTTCAATACAGATACAGTACATCACCGTTAGTATAATATTATGCTTTTGTTGTAATTTTCATTACAACTAATACGATCGGCATTCGTATTATTGTGACAAGGTCGGAGAGGGGGTGTTTGCCGTCGGGAAAGAGAATTATTCTTTTTTTAAATTGTAAAATACGTATGTTTGATACATTGATTTATCTCGATCTTATCCACATCACGAGTAGTAGCCAGTAGGGCATTATTGTAACGCCACAACGTGCTTATAATATTACTTATTTGATTTTAATCTTTAATCTACCATACAGAGATGACCAAACAACGATTAAGAATTAAATAAGGAATATTTTTTTTTTAAATACCCATATTATGCCCATCCCAATTTGAGACGATTGGTGGTACTTGGAATTGTGTAAATGGGTATCTTCTATTTATACAAACTTTAATATTACATTTTATTGAGACTGCATAATTTGAATTAAATTCTAATCTACCGATATTTACGTGTCGTATTGAACTTATTACAAATAAACTGTCAACAATTCCAATACTCAATCAAATAGTATATAAAATTTATAAATAATATCCTAAATATAAAATATAATATTCAATGGCCGTATCTGAGTATTCGATGTGAAATTATTTTGAATAGTATCTAAAAATAATATGCAATCGTCTACAAAACAGGTTTTTATATTAGGCATAAAAATAACACATTCAATCTGCGTCGTATTTGCCTTATCGAAAGAACATGGTAAAAAAAATGTAATTTATTTAGGAAAAGTTACTCGTTTTTAAGGAGACACCATGTGTAATCTAAATATTACAAATAGACATCATAGAAAATTTACATTCATTAGAACATTTAGAACTAATTTTAAGTGATTAGTTTTAATATAACTATAGTCTATATTACACTGAGTTTATCTACTTTAACGCTTCACTTAAGAAAAATTAATTAACGTGTGTAATTTTGTATATTGTTTTTTTACGTTATAATTTAAATTGAGAATGCGAGTTAAGAATGTGAAATATAACAATTTAGAAATGATTTTAACTCCTTAAAAATTTAAAACCTACCTACCCCTAAAATATAAATGTCTAACCTGAATTATTAATAATTGTTAAATTTTAATTATGAAGTACGTTTATACATTTGTATGTTTCTAAAGATGGTGACAACACATACAAAATGCTACTCGGACCGCATGCCGCGTACACTAATAAATTATAAATAAATTATACATAATAATGTATTATTGTTGAATTCAAGCGAAAATAATTTTGTTCTAATAATTTTGTGTTCGATATTATCGCTAAGCACTGTTATTTATTTTCGGGTAGGTATGATAAATTCTCGGTAAATTAATTTAACGACGATGTTTGTCGTGGTATTTACGAGAAAGGAAAAACGTTGGAAACTTACTTTGGGTTTTCCACCGTAAACACACTCGTAAAAATAATTGTCGTTTTTGGAAAAACGTTTTCCGTTCAGTCTAATTTCGTAAAACCTTGTAAACACTATTATTTAACTCTCAGGTATCACTCTATCCTCAGAAATCTTAATTTTAATACTGCTAAAAAGTGGTTTTTGATAATTAGTACCTCTTTTTAATGTTGTAATTTGCGCCACATAAAACTAATTAAAAGGAGTTATGTCATCGTCATCTTATATTTACAAAAACTATAATTTACACCACTCTAAAATAACTATACAATTTTTTTAAACAGATTAACATTATATTGTTAATCCTTAATCATTGATAGATCAAGTTCATTTTAATAGTTACATTTCTGGAAAATTACTATAGTGAAATAAATTTATATACGTATACATATCTTATTATTAAATAAATACAATTTTGGTTATTCATAAAATATATAAAAATCAGTCAAATTATAATTAAAAATTTTAATAAATACTTAATTCCAACAATTTAAGTAATTGTTTAATCCGCTATTGTAAATTCTTTGTATCCAAAATTACTATAGTACATAAACTTATATAAGTATTTTAAATTTTAATTTAAAAACAATTTGTGTGTAGCGTGTATTACATTACAGTAGATAATATGGTAAAAACTAAAAACATTGATAAATCGATATTCGATTTCATCCAGAAAACTTGTATATTATTATCATACTAAACTTTTTAGATCTCCACTCTTCTAGTACCTATATAAAATTCACATAACATATTTAATTATAGTCGTGCACATTATTATTAATTAGTTTATTACGTACGTCTAAATTAGACGGTCTAATTTCTAAAATTGTGCAGTGAATAACGTTTTTCTATGCGTTTAAACATTTATTCTGATTTTCTATGATGTACCTAAATATTATTAAGTAAAAATGTTTTAAATGTTATGCCTTAGACCTTAGTAATCATTATTGTTTTTGATACAATTTGTTCCGAGTCAATTTTATTGTAGGAAATCAAATTGATTGTTATTTTTCTTAAGTCACAATGGTTAACGTCTTTTTATCGTTACAGATGCCGATAAAAAAATTAATTTCCAAATGAGCTTGTGCTTGACGAGCGACGTTTCGTGGGTTAGTGTACCCAAATATTTGGAACTGATGTACATGGTACGCAATTTTAACATAAAAGTCGATCCGAGCGGATTGTCTCCAGGAGTGCATACAACTACGTAAGTCATAACTCATAAGACTATTACAAAATATGTATTTCACAATCATTAGTGCTGTAATTAGGACACGAGAATTTGATATATTTGACAATATTGCCCTGATAATTTTTAAAGGTTCCACATAATATGAATACAGTTGTACTTCGATATTATACTTTTACCCATGTCCAATACTTCAATTTATAATTTCTAGCATAGTAACTGATTTTTCTTAATAGATTTATTCTATAGTTTTTATTAAATTATTATTATAAATAATTTATTAGTATAATAGTTGACAAGTTGACTGTTATTTATACTTTTATATTATGATGTATTGTATGGCTAAATAGTAAATATACAAAATATATAATATATATATAATAAATATGAATAATATACTAATTTATAAATACGTTATATTTAGCCATAATGTATTGCTTATTATAGTGTATAGATAGACAAGATTTCTAATTTTATAAATAGCCAAAATACAGTCGATTATACATATTATACTGTGAAATACCAAATAATTAAAGTCGCTTCTGCGCTGATTCAATGGAAAAGGCACGGTGGTGGCCAGCAAGAATATGAGATTACCCATACTGTTAAGAGGACGCTACACCGCCTACACCCGTATGTGTTGTCTCCGTCTTACAAGGGCGTAACATCGCAAAAACAGTTTTTGCAATGTTACGCACTTGTAAGACGGAGACAACACATGCGGGTGCAGCGTCCTCTTAAGTCAAAAGTAAAAACGATTGCTCATGAAATGAATAAATATTATTTATATATTTGTTCGTTAAAGAGTCAGTTAAAATATTTCTAACTGGTCGTATTTATGTATGCTAACCGGCCAGATCAACTAATTTGTAATATTTTATACCTCTTTAGTATTAATTGACTTGTTTTTTTGGTTAGCGTAAGGGCTTATGATGTAAAAAACATAGCAAAAGGCCCCGTGTTTACTTTTGAAGTCACTGTTGTCCGACCAGTGAAACCCGATGATTCCGGTTTATTGTCTTATGACAACGTCAATTTCAACCCAAATTCCCTAATAAAAAGGAATTTCGTGCTAGTGCCCAACAAGGTGACATGGGCCAGTGAGTCAAATTATAATATTATTTAAATAGCATTGCGATTATTCGCAACATTTTCTTGTTCAAAATCAAWATTGTATTTTAATATTTGTAGCTCTCTACATAAAACATCTTGACAACGACGTCAATGCTAATTTCTGCCTACATTGTGTTCAATTGTTACCCCAAAAATCGTGCAAATTCATGGAGTTATGCAAGATGTTCAACGTGAAGTCTAATGAATTTCAAGCCCACTTCCCCGTTGAGGTATGTATGACACAATTTAATATAATATATGTGAAGGCTAATTTAGAATCTATAAATATTATTGTACTGATGTGGAAGAGTGGTAAAATATTACTCAGTTCAACATATATATTAAAACATAATTAAATTATTATTTGTACATTTTAAGAGAATTTGTTGTCTTCATCAAGTGAATAACATACCAAATTTACTCTCAGTAAATTACACGTAACTACGTTAATTTAAAAATTAGAGTAGAACGACCTCTTATGAAACTTGATGACAAAAACATTATCTGTGTTTGTATGCGAGTATTTTACTATGATACAATTTTTAACAAGTTTTGCGTATATAAAATAGCATTAATTAGAATGCTCATAAATTACTTTAAAACTGAAATTTTTTTAAAAAAACCACATTTAAACACAAATAATGTTCGTACCATCGAGTTTCTAAAGTGGCCCATTCACTCTAATTTTTAAACTAACGATTCTGCACTTGATCTGTAAGCGTAAATTTGTAAGAGAGARACAAACAATTCTAGCGTTACGTCCTCTTAAATAGGTACAGTTACATTAAATTATTACTAAAGTTAGATAATGGCTTGGGTTATTGTTTTGTAATTTTTACTACCTATATAAATAGATCAATAGCATTATAATATAATTTATTTATATTTCAATTTGACAAAATTACCGCTCAATGCAAGTAAAGCTATAAATAATATATTTAAGGAAAAAATTAATTTGTTTTAGAAAAAACTAATAAATAATGTTTAAA